CGGGTGCCTTACCTCCCTTGGGCTGGGCCAGCTGGTGGTCGGCCTGCTCCGTCTCTGCCGCTTGCCAGCTACGCCTCGGCCGGCGCAGGGGGCGGAACCACGCATGCGCGGCGCTCCCAGGCAGGGAAAGTCCTCGACTTACGACCGGTTGGGTAGTCCTCGACTTACGACCGGTTTAGTCCTCGACTTACGACCGGTTGGGGTCGCAGCATTAAAAAGGTTGAGAACCACTGCACTAAATGAATGGTTTGCAAGTCAAGAATGACACGTAGTAAAGGAAGTCATTGAAAGTCTATGGAAGTTCTCTGTCCTCCAGGTCAGGGTTGTCCCAAAGGTGTTTTTTCAGCTTTTCTTTTGAAGCTGAAGAAACTTCTTGGATGACATAGCAATTTTCAAAGTTTAGAGATGCTACAGATTCTTGGTTTTGTGTGCTGCCTGCATCTCACAGACGGGGCTTTGCTTGTTTGTGCGGACTGGTTGCTGGCCCGGTACTGGTCCACGGACTGGGGGTTGGGGACCCCTGTCCTAGGCAACCTCACAATATTGCAGGGGGGATAACACGGAGAGTCCCATTGACCCTGGAAGGATGGCTATAAATGTCATCGTACAAATATTGGCTCAAAGTTGAAAAAAACCCTGCTGGAATAACCACTTCCAATATTCAAAATGCTGCATTGGGCTGATTGCTGCCGGGCAGCTAGTGATTTGCCAAGTCACTTAGCGACATTCAAGCTTAGACAGATAATGAGCTGGAAAAAGCATTTGGAATCCAGCACTGCCACTCTTTTTTTCACCAGCAAATGCAAAGGCGTGCCAGTTTTCTGCGGGACTGTAAAGGGTGACTGGGCGAGCGCAGAGTAATTTAAGATTTATTTTTAGCCGCTGCATTGTAGTGAGTTTGGGTTTTTGTTTGGAATCCTTGGCTCCAAATACTGCGACTGATGGCAGAGTTCTCTTCTCCTCTTCAAATAAGGGAGAGAGAAAAAACAACCCAGATCTTCCTCCCAAAATTAAGTACTCCAAATTCTAACCATTCTGGAGGTTGTCCAGTTGATTAATGCTATTCTAGATGTGCAAATTGTAGCCAGTTTTTTTCCTCTCTCCCGAGCGTATTGTTGGCAGCCAAGAAAAGTCAATGGACCATTAAACGAATTAGCCCAGATGTCTACGGAGATTTTCAGTCATCCCATCACGGTTATCCCAAAGGTATTTTCTTAAAAGGCAACTGGACTTTGTTTTTCCTTGACGACGTTTCGCTTCTCATCCAAGCTGGATGAGAAAACAAGGAAGAAACAAAGCGGTTACTTTTTTGAAAAAGTACCTTTGGGACAGAATTAGTGCAAAATTTTCACTCAAGACTCAAATGGCCAGAATCAAATTATCCTACTTTGGACACACTATGCAAGGACCCAACTTTTTAAGAGAAGGCTCTAATGCTGGGAAAGGTGGAAGGAAAGAGAAGACAACCAGCAGCAAAGTAGATGGACTGTGACAGAGGGGTTGAAGGCACCATTGGAAGATCTGAAGGACCAGGGTAGAGACAGATCATCATAAAGACAATCTACCTATGTGGCTGCTAAGAATGGACGATTACTTGATGGCATGCAGTCAATCGCTCTCCTCTCTCTTCTGTAGCGCTGAGTTCCTGCACCTCCTACCCCATTCCCGGTTCTCCCTCATGTGCTTCCCATATGAGTCCCAACTCAAACCACCTTCAAGGGGAGCTACTTTGCCCATCCGAATCCTGTACCACTGTCCCGTTCCAAGCTCCATTCTTGCAGGCAGCTGGAGAGTTGCAGAGAAGGATGAAAGAGAGGAAAGAGTTCAAAATGAAATTCTGAGAATTGTGGTACATGTGTGTGTTGATTTGGTTTGGCAACCAAAGCCTGAATGTAATCCAGTTTGCTCACTCTACATTATTCATCAATTATTACAAAAAATCAAGGAACTCATCAACGAAAACCAAAGATATGTAATGGTCACCCATGCCCTCAACATGAGCCCTACAGTTGGCCGAGATAAATAATTTTCAGTTAAAATATTTATTCAAACATAGAATGTTTTTTTAGATCACACATACATGGCAGAATATGAATATCCTTCTAGTTTTGTAGCTTTATTTTTTATGCATTTATTTGCAATTATAATAACATCACATATCCCATTTCCATTTTTCCTGCTAGTTTCCAAGCCATCATCATATACTTCAAAACATGGCCTACCACAACAAATTGTTGATTTTAGGAAAAAAAATGCGTAGCTTTTTGTCCAAACTCCACCCATATTCCATAAACCAATCATGCATTGTGAAGATCAGATCTTCAACACTCCTTTAACATAATTTTATCTGGATTGGGATTCTCATTTTTATTGTTTTAGAGATATTTACTTGTTTAGGATTTTAATATTTTAATGCTGTAAACTGCCCAGAGTTTGTTTCATTACGAGATGGGCGACAAATAAATTTAATAAACCAACAAATAATCAACGGAACCCCTCCACTTCTTTTTCGCCAGTTCCCCACTGCAATTATCTACGACGTAGAAAACAATCATTTCTGTGGAATTTATTCTAAGTTAGAGATCCTCTGATTTGGGAAGTATTCTTCTGAATGAAGGGCGAAGCAATGGAGCTTTCTTGATGTCGGATGTTGTCTATCCATTCTGCAAAATCTGGACCGATCTAAAGCAGTCGACGTCTTCAGATTCAGAAGAGGAGGGAAGGAAAGCCGTTCTTCTTCCAGGACTCAGAGGTGACTTCGGAGCGAATCGGCTGCCTCTTGATGTCGGGTTGTGCAAGTGGTATGATGCGACCCTGGTGTAGTGAAATAGCCGGATAGTAAGACGCACTTTTTGTCGGCCTGATTCACAACACCAGCTGCAGCAACAATACCGGAATGTCAGCCTGGATCGTCTGGCTTCTCCTCCACTTTGAAGAACTGCTTCTTGAGGTTGTTTCGGGATAAATCACATTAAAAAGAAATCCACCCTCAGCCCAATCAAGCATTTTCCTGGGATGGTTTTGTTTATCGGCTGCACAAGCTCCCTACACAAAACTAGATTCCTCTCTGGGTCTTGGACAAGACACAGCTACTCGTGGGATTGGACTAGAGCAGGGGTCCCCAACCCTTCCAGCTACCCGTGGAGTACAGCGGCAGTGTGGGAGGGTTGGGTATGGTTTCATGCATGCAACCTAATCCCAACATGTGCATATGCAGCTTTGTGTGCTTGCCCATCGCTTGTGCGGTCCAGTTCCCAACGGGCCGTGGACTGGAACTGGGCCATAGACCGGGGACTGGGTACCCCTGGACTAGAGAACCTCCAATCTATGATTCTTGGGGGAACAGCAGAAAGGCATAGATAAACTGATACCTATCAGATCCTAAAGCCAGCAACCAACAAGTTCATTTCATTTGCACAGATTGCTTACTTTGAACCAGTTATTAATAAAATCCAATAGAAATAAATACTCAAACTCTCAATATTTAAATTGCCAGATACTCAAAGAGACAATCTTGAACATCTTGTTTCCTTCCTTTTCTTAATACAACAGAAATCCTTCGACATCCCTCCCCAACAAAGATCTCCAAATGAACAGGGGTAGGCAACCTTGGCTCTGTTATGACTCGTGGACTTCAACTCCCAGAATTCCTCAGCCAGCATGGGGGAACTATGGCCCCTTCATGACTTGCGGACTTCAACTCCCAGAATTCCTCAGCCAGCGTGGGGGAACTATGGCCCCTTCATGACTCGTGGACTTCAACTCCCAGAATTCCTGAGCCAGCCATGCTGAGGGGAAAGGGAGAGGTTTCCAAGCTGAGCCATGCTGGCTCAGGAATTCTGGGAGTTGAAGGCCACGAGTCATAAAAGAGCCAAGGTTGCCTACCCCTGGGATAGACCATAGATGGAAGTACTCTTTAAGTTGGGGCTCCACACAGTTGGGGGGGCAGCAGGCTAAAATAAGTGAGCGGGGGGGGGGTCGATGGGAGGGCTCCAAAAAGTCAGTTCATGGCTGTGCAATTGAAGCCCCGCCCCTTTTTTGCATTAACTTATGAATTACTTATTCCTGCCGATGAAAGTTTGCTCAATCCACAAAATTACGAGTTAACCTAGACATAATTCATCCTGCGAGCCACATCCTGTAGGGCTTACATCTTGGAATGATTAATAATGGCAATTAAAGGAAAGTAATACCTAGCATTACTTATATTTTTTTAAACACAGGTAGTCCTCGATTTACGTTCCGTAACTGAGCCCCAAATTTCTGTTCTTAAGGGAGATATTCGTTCAGTGAATATCAGTACTTCCCCAAAACAGGTTGAAAGTTCTGTCTTCTTCATAATGCCGGTCTTATCCAGGTACCCTAGGACTTTGAGCCCTCCGGAGGAAAGGTAAACGACCAAAACTTTTAAGAGACTGGTTGCCCTCAATATGCTAAGGCAATACCTGAATTCCAAACCACACATTAATTCATAAATTGCCCATTTCCACCTAGTCCAGAGAGTTGGGGCAACTCAGCTATTTTGTGCACTACACTGGGTTGAATTTGACAACCAAGAGTCAACTCTCAATGATCTGGGGAAAGGGGGGGGGAACAAAACAGTCACAGGGGGGCTATTAATCTTCCAGGGAATAAAATAAGGACATAGTACCTGCTTTCTGTGGTTGTAACTTAAAGGGTCTTTCTCGTTCTCCTCCAAAAGAAGGAAAGAGTTTGGAAAGTAAAACAAACAAATGAGAGAACATAAGAAAACCGTGGAAAGTAAAATAAGGTATCGATAAAAACAAATGTATAAATCCAAAGAAATTATTTATTGGGCTGGAGGGGAAATGCGTACAAAAAAAGAAAACGAAAATTAAACCGGAGGCCCGTCACCATCACCCTTTCAACGTGCGCGCAAAAGAACCCACTTCCCTGCCTAGTTAGTTCATGAGAACCTCCATCTGGACTAGCCGAGCGTTGGTGTCCCCTGACGTTCTGTAGGGGATCATCCCGGCGAAGGTGATGAGTGCCCGAGCTTGAGATCGGAGTTGCTAAGGGGGATCAAAAGAAGAAGAAGAAGAAAAATTAGCCGGGTCTGGAGAGAGAAAGATAGCTTGGGATAGGCTCATTAGAAAGGAACAACAACAAAAAAATCATCTTGTAGGAGAAAGAGTAGCAGAACCTGGGGGAGGAGTTAAATGAGGAATCAGCCTAGAATCCCTACATAGCCACAAGTGAATTAAGCCCAGCCTCCCTTGAATTCCATTGACCCGTATCTAACTCCAAGCAGGTGTTAACTGTTGGTTGACAATATTCCTGTGCATAGGGGTGAGTAGGAATAAATCCGTTTAATTGGACCTTCACCTGTTTCCATGTACCTGTCTGTCTACGAAGGTTCTCAGTCATCCAGGTCAGGATTGTCCCAAAGGTACTTTTTCAAGAGGCAACTGGACTTCTTCTTCTTTTTTTCCTTGAAGATGTTTCACTTCTCGTTCAAGAAGCTTCTTTAGTCAGAAAATCCAGTTGCCTTTTGAAAAAGCACCTTTGGAATAGTCCCTGTCTTGTCCGCGTGTATACGCATGCCTTAAAATGCACGTGACAAGAAATATTCAAAGCACACCTCTCCCGTTGAGAAAATTTTTTAGGACAGCCTTGGGCAATTTTTTCTTGGCCTCATTCTCTTCAGCAGAGGTTTCTCCAATTTAATTTCAAAAGTCAGCTTTGTGCAGCAGTGAAAAATAGACCTTTATTATCACTACTGTGAATATAAGCTGAGCTGAAAGGGTGACCTTGCCTACTAAGGAACAAAAAAACCAACTTACCGAATCTCGGTCCTCACTGACCCGGGTGGGCCTAGCAGGCGTGGCTGGGCTGGCACATTTCAACCTCTTATACTGGGTAAACAAGATATTCATTGTGGCAAGCAGCACCTCTGACAAATTGTGCCTGATCTAAGAAAAGTAAGAAGGGAAGAACAGACAAGTAGAATGAAAACAAAAAACAAAAAAAAAGGAGAGCTGAAGGTCATATTGGTTGATCCTAGAGATTACTGAGTGGACCTCAAATTGTTCTCCAGGTTTTCTTTGGTGGCAACTACTCCAGGAATGGGGGGGGGGGATTCATATGTGGGAGGTTCTGCTGAACATTGAGATCATGCCAGTTCTGGCCTCCTCCTTCCACTCGCCCCTTAACAGTGTCGCCATTTTCTGGGCCAATTTTAGTCTGTTAACGGCCATTAAGGATTGGAATAGAAGCAGTATGCATTCATTCGCTTTTCCCCAAAAAAGTGGAAGAGAATAAAAGATGAAAAATTCAAACAAATTGTCCTCCAACGAGATCTCCAGCTTACCAGTAGGGCAGGGGTCTTCAAACTTGACTGGTGGACTTCAACTCCCAGAATTCCTGAGCCAGCCATGCTGAGGGGAAAGGGAGAGGTTTCCAAGCTGAGCCATGCTGGCTCAGGAATTCTGGGAGTTGAAGTCCACCAGTCATAAAAGAGCCAAAGTTGCCTACCCCTGGCCTAGAATATTTCTGGAATTGCAATGGGACGTTGCTGGTATGATCAGAACAACTTATCTGAAATCTGAAGTGTGTTTCAGATTCAAAGACATTTTTGGGGAGGGGGCAGGCTGTGAAGTACCAAAACCAGGCAGTAGCAGCGGTCATAGTTCCCACAGTCCAAGAACTCTGGTGTTATGCCTGATTTAGACAGAGAAAGGAAAGGGACAGAAAGAGCTCCTTGCTTACTTCGTCGCTGAAATGCCTGAAGGCTGCGACTCGCTCTTCCACGTACTCTTGACTCAGTGGAACTAATTTTAGCTGCTCAATGATCTGCAGTGAAAGATGCATAGATAAGATACAATCAATACAAGTGGAGAGAACGAGACATTGCTGGTATATCTGCTTCTCCATTCGCCTCCCTTTACTTATTTAACTTCTACGCTGCCCATCTTGCCTATGGAGTTATCTCTAGGAGGCTTACAACCAATAGAAGCAGCAAGATAAAACATTTTAGAGACCGAGTAATGTTCTATTTAGTAACTACAGATCCAGTTTAAGTTTAAAACAAGGACTGTTACCCTGGGAAGTTTCTTAAGATCCACCTGCTGTTTCTCCAGTTTACTGTTGCTAGGACTGGTCTCGCAGGAGGACGTGACTTGAGCCTGTCAGTTTTAACTGCAACCGGAATCAGCAGGAATTGGAAATTGGAAAATTTGCTGTAAACATGTCTCTCCAGACTGCAGACTGTTGCTCTCTGAGAGGTTGACTGCCTCTTGGCCAGATCAGGAATGGGGCAATATGCAATCCCCTTCCCTGTGGCCTCTGTACCCCCAAATCAGGCCAACGGGAACGTACAAAATCTTCATGTAACATAGCATTTGTTAGAGAGGGGAAAATCCCCCGCATTGCAAACCTAACTACTCTGTGTGCTGAGTAGGAAAGAGGCTATCACAAACATTATGTATATATATAGGCCAGTAGAGTCATCATCCTGGCATAATATTATGAATACTTCCAAGTCAGGCTTAAAGAGATGGAGTCTTGTATCTTAAAATTTTGCCTCCCCCTCTCCAATCTGTAGCTTAGTTTAAAAACTGAGAAATAACTAGGCAAAAAATCAGGACAACCCTGTCAATTATAGACTCTGATTAAAGCTAAAAAAATATTGCAATGCCATCCTACACAAATCCAGAATCTTAATCTTTACGGCTAATGTAAGAACAAATTACACCGAGGAATAATCGTGATTCTGCCAACAGCCAACCACCACCGGTGCCCAGTGTCCTTTAAGGCCCTTTTATTGTTATTCACCCAGTTTTCATGGGCTGCTTCAGTTGCCATCAAGACAAGAACAGTTAACCAGCGGCCACTATTTGGAGGCAGACTCAAAACCAGCTAAAGTTGAACAGTTTCAGAGACAAAGGTGAGGGAGGCTTACCTCAAAGGCCCGGTCGATATGGCCAGCGTGATACTCATCAAAAAAGGTGATCAGGTCTAACAGGAGATAGAAGGTTGAGTCCATTGGCTTCTTGGAACTTATTCCTTGTGCTTTATACCTGCAACAAATTGAAAGAGGATGCGCCATTAAAGCTTTGGGAAGGCTTCGCAGCTGGCTATAGTATTTATTTATTTGTATCCCGCCTTTTACTATTTTTACAAACAACCCAGAGGTGGAGAACATATTCAACACACCTTCCCCTTTCTATTTTCCCCCCACAACAACAGCAACAACCCTGTGAGGTGGGTTGGGCTGAGAAAGAGGGGACTGGCCTAAAGTCGCCCAGCCGGCTTTCATGGGTAAGGCGGGATTAGAACTCAGGGTCTCCCGCTTTCTAGACTGGGGCCTGAACCGCTGGACCAAACTGGCTCTCATGTACTCGGGCAATTCAGCAGTGAAGAAAAGAGGCAGGTTTCAGGCACAAACAGACCTCAGCTTACGACCCCAATTGGCACAAGAGTTTCTGTCACTAAGCAAGGTGATTGTTAAGTGAATTGCGCCTTAAAATGCAGCAGCAGCAGCAGCATACATGCTATTCTAGCTCAGTGCACGACCTCTGAATGCATAATCCAAGGTTTCTCCCCAAGCTTTGATGGAGAAGGTCAAAGAAACCTGGCTGTTCTGGCCTGGGCAGGAATTCCCAAGCCCCCTCCCCTCCCCGCCCCAGGCCAGTCTCTCACCTCTCCGCAACGGCATGGGCCATGTTCTTCAGCCTTTCCTTGTTAGACTGGGGAGCGCTGACCTGAGACACCACAGGGCTTAGCAACTTGTTCATCAGCTCAAGGACTTTGTCGGGGTTCTGAGGAAAGCAGAAACAGAGGAAGGAGGCATTGCAGGGCTTAGTTAAAAAGGCCTTCCGGAAAGCCGGAAGCAGAGCAGCAATCACCGGGGGGAGGAAGGGGGAGAAGGGAGGGCTCGGGGGCAGATCCTAGGCCAGGGCTAGGCAACCTTGGCTCTTTCATGACTCGTGGACTTCAACTCCCAGAATTCCTGAGGCAGCCATGCTGAGGGGGAAAGGGAGAGGCTTCCAAGCTGAGCCAGGCTGGCTCAGGAATTCTGGGAGTTGAAGTCCACGAGTCATAAAAGAGCCAGGGTTGCTTACCCCTGCTCTAAACTAATAAAATCTACATTAATTAACATTATGCTTTCATATGTTTCTCTAGGTCAGAGGTAGGCAACCTTGGCTCTTTTATGACTCGTGGACTTCAACTCCCAGAATTCCTGAGCCAGCATGGCTCAGCTTGGAAGCCTCTCTCTTTCCCCTCAGCGTGGCTGGCTCAGGAATTCTGGGAGTTGAAGCCCACCAGTCATAAAAGAGCCGAGGTTGCCTACCCCTGTCCTAGGGACTCCCCGGATCAACTGAGGTGGGAGGCAGGGAGCAAAGTCGGTGAAAAGCTAAGAGAGGCCTTGTACTTTATATCTGCAACAAATTAAAAGCAGATGTGCCATTAAACCTTCCAGAAGGCTTCACAACTGGGCATTTGCTTACAGGTACTCCTCGACTTACACCAGTTCGTTTAGTGACCCTTTGAAGTTACTACGGCACTGAAAAAAGTGACTTATCACCGTTTTTCATACTTACATCCCCAGGGTCACATGATCAAAATTCAGACGCTTGGCAACTGACTCGTACTTATGACGGTTGCAGTGACCCAGAGTCACGTGATCCCCTTTGGTGACCTTCTGACAAGCAAAGTCAATGGGGGAAGCCGCATTCCCTTAACAAACCGGGTTATTCACTTAACAACTGCAGGGATTCACTTCACAGCTTTGGCAAGAAAGGTTGGAAAGTGGGGCAAAATTCACCTGACAAATGTTTCACTTAGCCACAGAAATGTTGAGCTCAATTGTGGTGGCAAGTCGAGGACTACCTGTATTTGTATCCCACCTTTTGGGTAAAGTGAGGACCCAGATCGTTGGGGCCAAAATGCTGATGCTGTAAACCGCTTAGAGAGGGCTGTGAAGCACTGTGAGGCGGTGTGTAAGTCCGAGTGCTGTTGCTAAGTGCGATTTCCTTTTATTATTTCTGCAAGCCACGCAAGGCATATCCAACACATCTTTCATCCTCCACTTACCTTGGCGAGGTCATACAGTTTGGCAGCTTCTTCAAACAATCCTTTGCTTTCTGCCACTGAGGCCACTTTATTAATAATCGGCTTGGTGTCTCTGGTAAACTTGTCAATAACTCCAGGCTGGTGAAAGATGACAGATTTAAAAAAAAAGGTGAGATAAAATAAATAAAAATAAAAAGACTGAGGAAAACCGAATAGTGTCATCCCCAGCCCAAGGATGACATAGAACAATCCAGCCAGTTCTTTATTCACTCACACCGTACAGACCAGGGGTAGGCAGCCTTGGCTCTTTTATGACTCGTGGACTTCAACTCCCAGAATTCCTGAGCCAGCATAGCTCAGCTTGGAAACCTCTCCCTTTTCCCTCAGCGTGGCTGGCTCAGGAATTCTGGGAGTTGAAGTCCACGAGTCATAAAAGGGCCAAGTTTGAAGACCCCTGTACTAGGGGAAAATTCTAGCAGGGCCCTACAAGCACCCGTAACTGAAATAAGAAAGCTTATGGGTTTCCCTTCAGATTAATTACAGGTAGTGCTCAATTTACAACCACTTGTTTAGTGACGGGACCGTTTTGTTCCAAATGTGGAATTAGGTGGATGATTTGAACGACTGCAGTGGCAAAGTGGGCGCAGGACACTCCAAGTAAAGATGCAAGGGGAGGGAGAGGGAAGAAGGGCAATATGCTGGGAAAGATGATGAAAGCACAATTTCTTTGCAATGAAGCAGCGTGGAATTAGGAAGACAGATAACAGACAAATAACATTTCCAAATCTTAAATAGTTCGGTAGATTATGAGGATTACAAGCTTTTCTTTTCTTTTTCTTTTTTTTAAAAAAAGAACCCTGCTTTTAAATTAACAGGAGAAAGCCCACCGCATGTCCTTTCATTTCAGACAAACGATTCAATAATATTTTGGCCTTATACTCGACGTTCAGTTTCATTTGGCTATTCAAAACAAGAAGAGAAAAGAGAGCTATATACACAAGTTTACCTTCCTACTGCCATCGTTCTCCAGTTTTCCAAGAATCATGTCAAACTACTCGTGCAAGAGAAAACAAGAACAAGAGTTAGGAAAGATATGTTGGTACTCCCATTATGAATGATCAAGATTTTAATGGATACAGGTCGTCCTCAACTTGCTGACCAACTGTTTGAAGTTACAACAGATCCCCCCAAAAGTGACTTATGACACGGTTCCCAAATTACGGCTGCTTACCTCTCGGCTCTCAATCACCAGCTCGCTCACACAACGCAGGAACATGTTTTCGCCCTGGCTGTCCTTCTCATTCCTAAAATAGGGATAACAAAAGCGGTCAAAAATACATTTACGGTTAGAGAAAATGACTAAAAAACATATAGATTTTAAGCCAGAATTATTTTTGTTAGGAATAATAGGAGCAAATTATGAGAAAGGCTGTATATATGCTTAATTTTACATTGTATTAACTGCAGCTAGAATTGTATTTGCCCAATACTGGAAAAATGAAAATCTACCAATGGAGGAAGAATTAATTAAGAAAATCTACTTAGATTGTGCAGAAATGGACAGATTGACATTAAAGATAAAAGAGAAAGAAGACTCAGCGTATTTTAGAGCATGGGATAATTTTTACCAATGGCTAGAAAAAACGAGTTAGAGAGAAAGGAATGTGATATGTGACATTGAATATATATTAGTAAGAAGACGACTACTGAGCGATTAATTAACATATCATTTATGATAATTAACTATTATTCATTGTTTCTTAAACACATGAACCCAGACCACATGCCGTTTGCTAAATATTAAGAATGTTATTTTAAAAAATCCTAGCTCTAACCCCAACCCTGACCCCGACCCTAACCCTATTCCTAATCCTATAAAAATACCTGAGAAAATAGAAGTACTGCAAGGCTTCACGGGGGTCTGTGGACTCAAACTTGCGGGTATATAGCATCAGGAGACGGACAAAATTCAGACGCCGCGTGGCCGGAGGCTCACCAGCCTCATGGCTCACTGCAATGGAATGAGGCAAAGATTGTGCAACGGCACCATTTTGTCCAAAAAAGAACCAAGGGTGTCCAGAAGGATAAAATCCACATTTAAGAGCAACCCTCTTCCAGTTCCCAGAGATTCAGAATTCAAAGACTGATATCACCATCATAAGCTACTTGAAAACCTTCCCAAAGACTTTAACGCGAGACAACTTCCAATGAGAAAAGCTACTGGGAAGACAGTAAGATAAGAAATTCTGATGTTGTTGTGTGGATTTCTATCACCGTGTTCTACAAACTGAGATATCTCTCTCTCGATGTCCCTCTAGCTCAGGGGTAGTCAACCTTGGCTCTTTTATGACTCGTGGACTTCAACTCCCAGAATTCCTGAGCCAGCATGGCTCAGCTTGGAAACCTGGGAGTTGAAGTCCACGAGTCATAAAAGAGCCAAGGTTGACTACCCCTGCTCTAGCTGAACTGCCAATCAAACCATGGTAACATGGATCGCTTCCTTCCAGTTTAAATTCCAGAAGGATGAAGAAAGAGGGATTTCGGAGGTACAGTTTGGAAAAACAGTTCTAAGACATCCGAGGATCCTAGGCAAGCAGTGACAGACTGTGGAATTAAGTGAAGCTCTTTGGAAGCCGTTTTAAGTTAGCTAATAAACGTCAATTTGTTTCTTGTTTAAATGTTAACTAGGTGGTTGTCCTTTATTGTATCTTCTCCATGTTTCACCTAATCCTGGGACTCACAAAGAGGAGAATAAGGGTTTCTAAACCAGAAAAAGATTTAATAGTGTTAGCAAGAAAGGCAGCTCCTGTAGGCATCTCCCAGACTTATTAGGATATTTGAGTTGAGTTTTGTTATCTTCTCCCGCCCAGGACAGCAGAACAATAAGCTCATTCTCCTGATGTTCATTTATTTTTCTCGGCTGTTGATCCGGCTGTCTGCCACCATGTGGTGACAGTCACCGGAACTGGTGATTTTGATAACTTGCAACAGCTGTTAATGGGATTAGCCAAGGAAATGGAAAACAAAACCTTCATTGACAGGCAATATACTGTGGTTACCAAGAGGCCACTGTATCGTAATTCTTAGGGCTGCTTTCAGCAAGCCCAAGAAAAGAACAAAATACTGATTTATGAATTGTTCCCTTACTTTGCGGACAGCTACTTTGAAAACCCAGGGTCATGCTTCTTAAAAAAAAAATGTTAATAAGAGAGGGATATCATTGGAAGAGATATATCATCTCAAATTGTCCGACATTATTTTATCTCTCCAAGAGGTATGGCAAGTCTAATCTTGTTAACTTATCAAAATTAGGCAGGTTGAGCTTTGTTGTATTTAGAAAAAAAAAGAAAAAAAAAATATGTAGTGAAAACTCAACACGGGGTCAAAGGTTGACAGTGCAGCCCTGCAGAATTCTGGGTAGGTATGCAGGATGTCACCTGTCAATTGCTCACCAGTGCAACATAAGATAATGAATTGGCCATTCCACACCTTTTGTGAGGTCATAAAAACTCCCTTTCAGCCCCGGGAATGCCGGGGGTCCCAGTTAAAAGAAAGTTATTCATCTGTCTAATTCAGGGTTTCTCAACCTTGACAACTTGAAGAGGAGTGGGCTTCAACTCCCAGAATTCCTCAGCCAGAACTCCCCACCCATTCCCCTTGCTGACTGGGGAATTTTGGGAGTTGAAGGCTACACATCTTCCGGTTGCCAACGTTGAGAAACGCTGTTCTAATTATTTAAAAGTGTCTCTCTGTTTCGTGCTTCTCCTCATGGGACAGTCTACGGTTCAGAGGGCTTCTCCCTCTATTCCCGGAAGGCTTCAACCGGCGCCATGGCCACAGTCCAACAAAACTTACAGAGTTGTGCAGTCTGCCCAGAAGATTTCAGCAACAGCTTCAGTTCAAAGAGAACCAAGGCCACGTGCACCGCATGGCAACGCAAGCGTTCGGTGCGGAAAAGGAAAGCGATGGCAGCTTCAAATTGGGCGGTGAGGAACAAGACTTGGAAGTAGAGGAAGGGCTGCTGGTTCATGGCAAAATGCGACTCGCCTGAAGAAAAGCACAAGGGAAGAAGGTAATACAGCTGATCCTCAAAAATGCAGGCGTCACTTGTCCCACAAAAAAAAGGTCAGAAAGCAGAAATAATTATTTATTTTATTGGTACAGGAAGTCCTTGACTTACGACCACAATTGAGCCCCGCATTTCCATCACTAAGCAAGACAACTGTGAGGCGGGTTTTTGCCTCATTTTACAACCTTTCCTGCCACGGTTGTTTTAAGTGAATCGCTGCATTTGTTAAGTTGGTAACTACGGTTGTTAAAATGAATCTGGCTTCCCCCGCTGACTTTGCTTGTCAGAAGGTCGTAAAAGGGGATCGCAAGACCCCCGGGACACTGCAACCGTCATAAGTATGAGTCAGTGGCCAAGCGGCCGAATTTTGATCGCGTGACTGTGCAGATGCTGCAACGGTCGTAAGTCACTTTTTTCCTTTATTGTTGTAACTTCAAACGGTCGCTAAATGAACTGTTGTAAGACGAGGACTATCTGTATTCTGCTTTTCTACCCTGGGCATCACTCGGGCCAACGAACAGGAGTTGAAAGGACAGCTGCAGAATTGAAGAACTTTAAAGTTCAGGATAAAATTAACAGTGACCCAAGTACCAAACTCAACAATTTACATTTGAATGGAAGAGACAGACTGATTTCCACACAGCATAACCTTGGAGCTATGCAAGAGAAGGTCCTTTCTGGAATATTAGAAAGTTTTTTTGTTTAATTTGATTTAAAACTTTCACCATTTCCAGAAAGCCTGACAGGGCGTCCTAACAGACAGACTTAGCAGGAAAGCTGCAGAACAGGTGGCAAGGCAGATGGAATCATAAAACATTTCTTAAATATCACTGCTAAGATAAGATAGTGGTATCAGTCTGGCTTTTTAAGAAAAGTCGTAAATTACTAGTTTCTGAGTCTTTACTATCTACTGAAGCCGAGATGCTCAGACAAGAATGCTTACTTGGATACGCCCTGTCGGTTTATTGGACAAACTCATTTTTAAAAGTCCCAGAACCAGATCTACTCAAGATCTTGGGATCACCTTTCTGCGTAACAGTTTATTTTCAGAAATCTCCTTAGCTGAACTTACCATAATCTTCAAGCAGCTGTTTCTGGAATTGGGACAAAGTCAGCCTGTCTTGCGGTGCGCTAGAACCGTTCTCGTCAAAGCATACTTGATTCAGCTAGAAAAAGATGGAAAAAGTACTTGTGCATCACCCTTTCTTTTCCCAATGGATGCATGCAATAGGTTTTCCAAAAGCAGAATGGATCTATGAGAAGCTACGAAGAACCAACACTGGATGGAAGGAAGCAATGGAGGGGCTGGCACCTGGGTCTGGCAAAAACTGGGAAGTGTGGAAATCGTTGAATAGACTGCGCACGGGTTCAAGATCCAGAGACCCACTCTGAACAAAGGGGGGCGATCTGGTGGCTTTTGCCTTTTGCAATTGTGGTGACATGCAGAAAACAACACATATGTATACCCTTTTGCGTCCTGATCCGTGTACACTCATGGCAGTGTGTCACAACACTATTTAATGTTGCTCGTTTCAGGCAGGATGCCTTTAACTTTTTTAATTTTGTATTTTATATTTTAAAGGTTACCTCATGTCGTATGCCTTATTTTAATTGTGATGCTTCTCACGTGAATAAACAAACAAACTTTCCAAAAGCCAAGAATCATAGAAATATAAGCCTGGAAGGGACCTTGGAGGTCTTCTAGTCCAACCCACCTGCCCAAGGCAGAAGTCCTTATATTATCATGGATAAATAGTTGTCCAACCTTTTTTTTTTAAACCCTCCAGCAATGGAGCACTCACAACTCCGAGAGGCAAGCTGTTCCAGTGATTAATTGTTCTTACTGTGAGGAAGTTCTTCTTTAGTTCTGACCCACTTCCACCCATTGTTTCTTGTCCTACCTCAGATGTTTTGGAGAATAGGTTGACTACCTTTTCTCTCCGACAGTGCCCCAAGTTTTGGAAGACCACTGTTATCCCCAATCCTTTGATAAGCTAGATATGCCTAGTTCCATCTACCATTCATCATACAGTTTTGCCTCTGGACCTCTTATCAGCTTCCTTGCTCTTCTCTGCACACTTTCTAGAGACTCAAAATTATTATTTTTGGGGGGGTATCATGGTGACCAGAAATGGACACAGTATCCCCAGTGTGTCTTTACATATCATGGTCCTTGAGCTGGGATGAGGACGGGAGCTCACCCCCTCGTGTGGTGCTCGGGACTTAAACCTAAGTTGCCGGCTTTCCAGTCGACAAGGCCAGCATCTTTAACCACTGGGCACCTGTGCTGCCCCTTAAGTTTATATGAAGAGGAAGAAAAAAATGAATACTGTCAAAAAGATGGCAGCCACAACAATCCTTTTGAAGGGAAGCCGATTACCTTCAGCCAAAGATAATCTTCGGTTTTGTCCGCAACTTCGCTGTGGTTATCAGCAATATCACACCGGCCTATGATACAATACACGGCTCTTTTGTAAGGGTCAGTGTTGTTTCTCAAAGCCCGTCTGTAGTGGAGGCGAACTTTGTTCTCGGTGGCAGGAGAAAGCCTACAATTTTAAAAAGGGAAGTTGAACCATGAGTCAAAGTTGGAGTTTTTTTTTCTCAAATCGCCTACCCATGCTGCAAAAAGTCATCTTTTGAGCCGAGCAGCTTTCCTGTAACAGAAATACTTTTTTTTCTTGATGCCTTTTTGCTGACTGAACTCTCATGGAGTTCACAGTCCTTTATATTTCAGAAACCGTCCTAATAAATATAACTTCAGCAATCCAAATTCAGACTTGTCAGATGGATTGAAACAACAGATCCAAATTATTTCTTCCCACTAACATAATGTAGCTTCACACTCAGAAAGAGTGATTAATTTTAAAAATAGATATGTTCCACTTGAAGCAAAAAAAACAAAACAAAATTAAGTGCATTTTTCAAACAGCTGCACCTTCTGCAAGTCCCAACTGCTTCAGAACCATTAATTTAAGGCAGTGTTTCTCAACCTTGGCCACTTGAAGATGTTGTGGACTTCGATTCCCAGAATTCCCCAGCTAGGGAATTCTGGGAGCTGAAGTCCACACGTCTTCAAGGGGCCAAGATTGAGAAGCACTGGTTTAAGGCAGGGGTCTTCAAACGTGGCCCTTTTATGACTTGTGGACTTCAACTCCCAGAATTCCTCAGCCACTGAGGAATTCTGGGAGTTGAAGTCCACAAGTCATAAAAGGGCCAAGTTTGAAGACCCCTGATTTAAGGTATCAAACGTCTTGTGCACAACTTGAAAACTTGAAGCCATCTTTTCTTCAAGTTGATTTTGGAGATGAGCAGAAATGCCCAGCATTTGAAGTTCCAATCAGAATTATGACTTTCAATGGAATTATTTCTTCTGCCTCCCGTCACCCCCGGACAATTATAATTTTTCCTGGCTTCTTCCGGCAATACCCGAGTACCTTTTGTCTTTGCTGTGCATGTACTCCTGGAACCAGGTTTTGAAATCTCCCAACTGGTGCTGAGCCAGGTTAACCACTTGCATGGCGGCCATCAGGTCCCCACATCGCATGCAGTAGTAAATGATTGCCCAAACTGGGTGACCTTCCACTTCCCCGTCCTAAAACAACAGAAGTAGAAAAACATCCGGACATTTGACTTCTCCTAGGTAGCCCTCGACTTAACGACTGCAATTGGGGCCCAAATTTAGGTTGCTAAGAGAGACAGCTGTTCAATGAGTTGCAGGCTCCATTTTACAACTTTTCTTGCCCTCAGTTGTTAAGTTAGTAACACGGTTGTTAAGTGAAGCTGGCTTCCCCGTTGACTTTGCTCCTCAGAAGGGATCACACGATCCTGGGACACTGCAACCGTCGTAAATAGGAGTCAGTTGCCAAGCATCCAAATTTTGATCGTGGGACCACGGGGAGGTTGCAATGATTGTAAGTGTCACCAGTCCCTTTTTTTCAGTGTCGTAATTTCAAACGGTCACTAAAGGAATCGCTGTAAGTTGAAGACTGCCTGTATTGTAATGAAGACTTGGAATTTAGATGATGGGAAACATATGTCTAAACTGCAAGTGGCAAATACCATCGCCTGAAGCTTTTTCTCTGTATAAAAATAAATCTTGCAGACCTTTAAAAAACAACAACACACGCTTAGGGAAATTCAAACCCTTGTCTGTCTTTTGGAAAAGGTGCTTTTCTACGCGTACATATTTTTAGAAATTATATCTGCATATTCATGAATGCAAATTTCATCTATCAGGAGCCTCCAAAGATGCAGGGAGCCATTTTAGCAGATTTCCGCTTACACTGATGTCTTTGTGCTCCAGACAGTTGGGGAATTCTTCAAAATGGTACAGAAGATGATACGGCCAGAGGGGAATTGGAGAACGCTGCTTCTCCCTTCTTTCATTTGTGGAAAGCTTAGCTACAGAATATGCCTTTATGTGAATGAACAGGCACCACCAGAGACCATCCATTATGTTTTCTGGATGCTGTTTTCCAACAACGAACCATCGAGCCGAGAAGAATCTCAGAGGTTATATTGCAGAAATTTCTACTCAATACAGCATCTTCCCTGCAGGTGTTTACATTCTGCCAGTGGAAAAAAACCCCACCACCTTGCCAAGCCATTTACAGAATCCTACCGTCAAACTGATCTCAGTTTTAGGAAAGTTCTTCCAATGCTTAATCAACATCTGGTTCCTGGCAGTTTCTGCTCATTTATTCTAGGATTTTCTCTGAATGTACCGAGGGGGGGGGGGAGAGAAATCCTGGTATCTTTTCAGGATAACATTCATTATATATGGGACCTATCAAATGTTCATTTTCCCCCCTTGTCAGGTTAAATATACCAGGCTGCTTTTCTTTATGTCTCATGGGTGTTTAAAATATGGCATTTAGACCTGGAAATGCTTTTCCCCAAGCAGCTTGTGGTGATCAAGACTTAGGAACTTTTGGGGGCCTTCTGCCCATAAATAAAATTGATGGGCTGATGCTTATTCATTTAATTAAACAATTTATAGAGCTGCCCATCTTGCAATAGTCTAAGCAGCGAACAAGGATTAAAATCCAACGCACACACAATATCGATAACAACCAAAACCAACACAGTAATGCGTTAACAAACACATGCAAGATCTAAAAACAATCCATTTCTACGTTTTCGAATGATCTTAGGCTGTGCAAGGGATGCTTTTGGAGAAAGAGCTTAAGATTGTAATTAATGTTTTCAGTGGGCTTTTTAAAAGAACTTTGGCCTTTGGCAATCTTTTTTATTATTATTATTTTATAATCACAAATGCTTAATATTTTATCAGCAACATATTGTCTGGGTTTCCAACATTTAACTTACTAATATACATGTTAAACACCTTTCTCTCTACCTCGTTTTTCTAGCCATTGATAAAAGGTATCCCATGTTCTAAAATATACCAGATCTTCTTTCTCTTTCATTTTCAATGTCAATCTATCCATTTCTGCATAATCTAAAAATTTTTTTAATTAACTCTTCCTCTGTTGGTAAATCTTCATTTTTCCAATGCTGAGCGAATACAATTCTCACTGCAATTAATACATGTAAAATTAGATATACACACTCTTTCTCATAGTTTCCTACAATTATGCCTAACAAAAATAATTCTGGTTTAAAATCTATGTCAGTGTTTCTCAACCTTGGCAACTTGAAGATGTGTGGACTTCAACTCCCAGAATTCCCCAGCCAGCATGCGCTGGCTGGGGAATTCTGGGAGTTGAAGTCCACACATCTTCAAGTTGCCAAGGTTGAGAAACACTGATCTATGTGTTTTTTTTAGTAATTTTCACTAACCATATATATATTCTCGACCAGAATCCTTTGGCTTTGGGGCATGTCCTCCAAAGAGGATAATAGGTGCCTGGTTTTTGTCTACATTTCCAACAGTTGCTAATAAGTTTTTAAACATTTTTGCTAACCTCACCGGTGTTAAGTGCCATCTGTAAAACATGTTTATAAATTTTCTTTGTACGCCACCGCTTTTATTATTTTAGAATTTCTTTCCCAAAGGCTTTGCCAGTTTTCTACTTCTATGTTATTCCCAAAATTCTTTGCCCATGTTATCACTGTTTCTTTAACTTGTTCCTCTTCCATCTTTAAACTTAACATGTATTTATAAAGTTTCTTAATCAATCTTGATAAAGCTGATACAACATGCACCGTTTGTGCATACTATAAACTCTGTGTCAGTGCGCTTCTATTGCTAAGGGCTTCAGGTGTGGGTGTGTCAAGTGAGGGTCTTGTGGCGAGTCATCAGAGAGAGGCTTCTGATGGGTCTTGTGATGAGGAGGTTACTCAGGTCAGGTCACCCACACCTGAAGTCTTTATAAATAGAAGAACATGGACACTGACATCCCCTCAACTCCGCTGAAGATGTTGCCTAGCATGGTAATGAAACGTTCGGAAACCAACCCAGAAGCTTGGAGAACGAACCTTCACTCTCATTGTACACCTGAGTACGGATATTCACCAGTATTGCAAAACTATAAACTCTCCATCTGACAGCTGCCATTTCTGCCTAGCTAAATGAATGAAGTAAACCAAGGTTGCTAGGACCGTGGTGCCCTGGATGCTCCTACCTGCAGCCCCGGAACAGACACTGGAAGTTTGATGTTTAAGAAACTGCGGACTAGCTGATAGGTTCCAGGTACTCCACCCAGCTGGGCTTGGTGCAAATTTCCAAAGACTGTCATCAAGGTGTAGTTCTTGTAGCTGCAAGGAATCAGCCATGGCTGGTCAGTCCAGGTGGCTGAACATCCGTTTTACTGATTTCACACAAAGAATGTTCAAAGAGGGCTCAGACATTCTTAAAATAATAATAATAATAATAATAATAATAATAATAATAATAATAATAATAATAATAATAATAATAATAATAATAATTCTACAAGGGTTATTTCCTTTCCTTTCCTTTCCACAGTACGGGTGATCTCTGACTTACAACCGCGATGGGGGCCAGAATTTCTGTCGCTAAGCAAGGCGGCAGTTAGGTGAGCTGTGCCCAATTTTGTGACTTTTCTGCAATGGTTGGTAAGTGAATCACTGCAGCTGTAAAGTGAATCGTGCAGTCGTTAAGCGAATTTGGCTTCCCCCCCGCCCAATTGACTTCGCTTGCTGGAAGATAGCTGGGAAGGTCCCAAGTGGGGATCACGCGACCCCAGGACGCTGCAACCATCCTGAGTACACGCCGGTCGCCAAGCGCCCAAATTTTGACCACGTGATTGTGGGAATGCTGCAGAGGGAATCAATCATTCCAAGGCCCGAATCAGAGGAGAAGTGCAGAAAGGATGGCAGATCTTCAAAAAGAACGGGAATCATGCCTCCTGCCTTGAGCTGGGGATTGGACCAAAAGACCTCTAAGGTCCCTATGATTCCATGCCACGGCAGAGAAATGGCAGCTTCCTGGGAGCTTTCCCCCCCCCCTCTATTTAAGGACTTGTACCTTTGCTCAAGATATTGTAAGGCCTGCCTTACAAACTCCATCTGCACCTCCATGCTTGTCCGTATTTTCAACGCGTCGCTTGCAGGAACCAGTAGAACATCAGTCATTTGCTTCACCATGGCCCACAAGTCAGCAATGTTCTGCAAAAAGAGTGAAGATGGTGTCAGAGCTAGCAACAAAAAACCTGTCGTGGATTTTGATCTGCTGGTGGTCTTAATAAATAGAATGCATTTACTTTGATCTAGGGTAGGCGCTTTGCAGATCTTTCTTTATATTTAAAAAGCAAGCAATTATGCCCTTAGGTGACAGGCTTCTAATCAAAACTAAATAATCAAGATCACTTCTGGGGCTAAATTATAAATAATACCTTATCATCCAATTCTGCCACAGTAGCACAGAGGTCTACCAAATTAGGCTGAAGATGTCCATTCACAATCTTCTCATTGTACATATAAATCTGAAACAGAGTAACATGGACAGATATCCACCATAATTCAATAAAGTCCCTCCCTTTTCATAAGACTCTCCTCACTCACACATGCACTGCTTAAATGCAAGATACCTCCATCCAGGCTTGCACTGACATCCGCTTTGAATTGACGATATAATGGCAACAGAGAAGAAGTCGCTGCCTAACAGTGAACCCAATTCAAAGTTGTCTGAAGCCCAACAATAAAATGCATTTTATTTTATGGGAAAAAAACACCACCCAACAACATGGGTTTCAGGTCCTTCAAGTAAGGTTTCCCAATCGTGGCAACTTTTAAGACGCGTGAACTTCGTGCTGGAAATGTAAATTGGCAAGAGGGACATATTACCACATGTGGTGGGAGTGCTCAAAAGCCCGTGACTTTTGGAACAAGGTTAAAAAATGGCTGGAAGAAATACTAATGATAGAGGTAGAGCTAAAACCAGAACTCTTCCTACTAGGCAAAACTACACAGAAATACGACAAAGGGATACTTTACTTGATGCCACATATTCTCACGGCTGCTAGATTGGCGTATGCACAAAACTGGAGGAATAAAGAAATTCCAACAGAAGAAGAGATTTTATATAAAATCCTATCTTGTGCTGATATGGATAGGCCCACAATGGAAATGAAGGACAAGACAGAGTCAGATTACTTTGAAATCTGGGACAAATTGGTGTGAATCAAGGAGACCTGTTCGGGTTTTAAGTTAGTGTTAAGATAGAGATATATAAAACTGTATGTCAGTATATAGAGAAACAAATTAGAGACTGTATTGTATAGAAAAATATGTATATAGAGAGATTAAGAATTATATGTATGATGAGGAACAAATTGTTAGGAATATATACACTGGAATGTTATGTTATGTCCATCTTTGTTTTATCTGTTTTATAAATAAAAAACTTTTTAAAAAAAAAAAAGACGTGTGAACTTCAACTCCCAGAATATCTGGCTGGGGAATTCTGGGAGTTGAAGTCCATAAGTCTTCAAGTTGCAACGGTTGGGAAATGTTGCCTTAAAGTGGCTGGAATTCCACTTCAATGGATGGATATGGATCCGAATCCAACAATCCAAATACTCCTAAGCGCACAAGCATATCTTTTTACAATGCCTGTTCCTAGCTGATAATAATCCCCAATAACCAGAACTTCAAATAAAATGGGGTTCTAGAATGCCACAGCTCAGCCTGGCCGGCTGGAATTAGATCCTCAGACCAGTTTAAAATGACTGGAGATCTGTATGATTTCCCTTTTGCAAATCTACAAAATCTTTAGGTACCACAGATGTTTTTGTTCTAATAAAAAAAAAGGGGGGGATGCACAGGGAAAGCTGCAGGGAGAAAGTTAAAACAAAACAAAAAATCAAGATGGTGGCCCCAATCCTGCAGCCAAAGTCTTTCCCTTTACTCACATATATTACAATTGATGCAAATCTATAATTGGCACAGGTTTTACAGATCTGCCGTTGGAGGAAAAAGCCCAGAACTTCCTAAAACTGCTTTTGTTTAAAGTGGGGGTACTCACCTGTCTGGCATATGCCATCTCTGTGTTATCCAGGGAACTGCGACCTGGTGGAGGCAACTCACTGACATAACTAGGCTGTTGAGAGAAGACAAAAAAGGCTGCTCAACCCTGGGTTTCAAAAGAAGAGAATCTTTGTAGCTCAGGGCTGAATTGTGGGGTCTGTGGTGTTCTCTGAGCTTGGTGGTTTTCTTGCAGATATTTTATTACCTAACTAGTTAACATCATCAGTGCTAGAGAGGAGGAGGAGGAGGAGGAGGAGGAGGAGGAGGAGGAGAAGGAGGAGGAGGAGGAGAAGGAGAAGAAGAAGAAGAAGAAGAAGAAGAAGAAGAAGAAGAAGAAGAAGAAGAAGAAGAAGAAGAAGAAGAAGAAGAAGAAGAAGAAGAAGAAGAAGAAGAAGAAGAAGAAGAAGAAGAAGAAGAAGAAGAAGAAGAAGAAGAAGAAGAAGAA